ACACACAAGAACAAGAACTTCTGTTCTTGGGCATTTAGCTAAAATTATAAAACTCTCAAAAAGCCCTCAACTGTAATCCCACACAATGAAGGAGGGAGAGGAGGAAGTGTAAGAGGTTTTCTTGTCCAGAACCATCCTTTTTCCTGAGAAGGGGTGAGGGGGATGTGAGCCAGTTACCTCAGGCCTCACGGAAGGGGACTCAAGAGTCATTCAAAGGGCAACCTAGGACTCCCGGTGGCTAATGAAAGCAGGGCTGGCCAGTGGCTTTGGGGGACGAGCTGAAGAGAATGGCTGCTGTCCTGGGTCCAGCCGGTAGACCCACGGTCTGTTCAGGCCAGAAATGGCGGAGTACTTTCCGTGGCCAGAAGTCAGCCACGCACATGTGGGAAAGCCCAGACTCTGCCCAGCAAGGCACACGGATAGGCAGTGTGGCCTCAGCAGCCTTGGAAGGCAGATTGCAGGATGGGCAGAAAATGATTGCCAGAAAAGAGTCATTCACCAAGCCAAGGGCTGCACACTGGAATGTTCCCAATGGGGGTGCTCTGAACAACACCACTGGGAGACAGAAAGTCAGCACCTGGCTCCCAAAGCATGCAGCCCCGAAGAAAGAACTTTCCAGCCACTCTTACCTCCTTCCCTTCATCCCAGAGGGGTCAAACCACACAGTCGGGGAGGAGAGGGGGTGGGGAGGAAGGGAGAAGGAGAAAGAGGGAGTTCTCTGTGGCAAGATACCAAGCTGGGGGACCTGGGGAAGTGGCTCCACTTTAAACCGAGTTCAGAGTTTTGATATTATATGGGACTGAACATTCTAAGAACCAGACTGATATTGTAAGTGGAGGGACAACAAGACTTTGTATCACCCAAAGATTCCTATCCAACCCATGTTGCTTGCTCAAATGCTCCTTCGGGAGCTGGAGGAAAACCACCCAGTGGGCAGGTCCAGGGGACATGGAAAAGAAAAACGAAGTCGCCATGTGGTGACTCCCCAAGCTCCTTCTGGTCACACACGTGTGCGTGTGTGCAAATGAAATGGACATATATAGCCATATCTCTGGACAGGGAGGCTATAGCTGGTGTCCATTTTCTTCTGTTTCTACACTTTCCTCTATTTCCACATTTCCTACAAAGGGAACGTGTTCGTTTTATAATCAGAAAAACATCAGAACATGTTATTTCAAAAGAGGAAGTCCGCCTTCCGGAAATTCCCTAATCCATGTAACGTATCACTTGTACCAGGAATGAGCATTACCCATCACATGCCCAGGACTGCCAAAAAGAGCAAGAGACGTTCTAACATCTGCACAGGAACTTGGCGTGAAAATCAACTCCAATCCCAGGGGAGGAGGGAGGAAGTGAGAACTGGGAATTTTGTTGTTTCTCTTGTAAACGTGCTTCAGGATCACATCCTTTTCCCCTTCCCCTCCCTTCTCCACTTAGTCACAAATTCAGCAGCACAGGGGCCCTTCTCAATACCAGGTCGCCTGAAGTGGCCCATTCTTCAGGCAAATGTCCAACAACAGCTTAAAGTTAGTACCTTGGCATCTTGGGGGAATGGATTCCCAGATGAAAAAATGCTAAAGAATTGCATGTTGCCACACACTGGAGTCTCTCTAATTTTTTTCTTGGAACACTCTGCAGTGGAATTGCTGCAGAGGTGAAACCACCTTGTAACAAGATCTTAAAAGCGATTACAAAAAAGATTTTTTGCTATCTTGGATAATGAAGTAGGGATCTCACAGAGCTAAGACATGTCACGCCAAAGTCACTCACTTCCCTCTGATACAGTTGGTAGATAAGAAAAGGCTGTAAGGCCAGGATACCAGAACTCAGCACAGCCTTGGATAAAGTTTCCTAACATTCTGAGTGATGAAATGGCAAAATATGGGCAGGATGATAACACATTGGAGGGAATTGCAGCTGGCTGAAAAATCTTACTCAGGGTCACCTAGCGAGATGATGTCTTCAGAGGTATACTTTTCTTTTTTCTTTCTTTCTTTTTTTTTTGAGTTGGAGTCTCACTCTGTTGCCCAGACTGGAGTGCAGTGGTTGCTCCCAGCCACCGCAGCCTCGACCTCCTGGGCTCCGGCGATCCTTCCGCCTCAGCCTTCCAAGTCGCTGGAACTACAGGCATGTGCCACCATGCCCAGCTAATTTTTTGATTTATTGTAGAGATGAGGTTTTGCCAAGTTGCCCAGGCTGGTCTTGCACCCGTGGGCTCAGGCAGTCTCTCACCTCAGCCTCCCAAAGTGCTGGGATTATAGGCATGAACCACTGCGCCCAGCCTGAGGCATGCTTTTCAAATGTGGCAGCTTTGCTAGGTTTGGAAGACTGAATGACCTACCTACGAATCAAGAAGTTGGTGGGAAATGGAACAGCACATCAAAACCAAAGAACTTAAATAGAACAAGAATGAGGGAAGAGCTACCCTTGGGCTCAAATAGTTCGCTGCAGGATGATAACAATCTGATAACAACAACAACAATATTTCATAATTACATAGAGTATTAAACAATCTGGCTTCACTTCAACTCATCTGAAAAACTACTTAAGTTCTGTTTTTGTTAGCCATGAGGTTAAAGTGAATCCAACAGAGTGACACAGAAAAATACAAGCCAACAGTAGCCAGAAAGAAAAAGTAGGAGCCCCTGTCCCCCAAGCACACCTGAGGCATTGGGTTCTACTCTTGGGGCCACCCTTGAGAGTTACATCAATAATTGAAGTCCTGAGGAAACAGGTGGGCAGGAAGGTGAAGGTCTGGAAGCCAAGCATTATTGGATGGTGAAGGAGGGACAGAGAGATGTGAACGGTTGTTTTAGATATTTCAGCAGCAGCCATATGGGAAGATTGTGTCTGCCCAAGATCTACTAAAAAAGAGAAGAAAGAAAGGAGGGAAAGAGGATGTTGAATTGGCAGCTTTGTGGACAGCGAGAAAGCTCTGTCATCCAGATCACTGAAGCCCAACCAGATGGCCACCCACAGTGGTGTGGTTGTACAGGCTGCGAACTGCTCCAAGGTTCCCACTGAGGAGACGTGCAGGTTTTCAGGTCACAGATCCTGATGTGAAGTTGTATTTGTACAGAGGAAGCGCCACCTTCCTCTTAAAAAGAAATGTCCTGTCCCCTCACCCAGCTCTATGCCCCTGCAGCTGTCTCTGCCCTGAGAGGGCACCGTGTTCTCATAAGAGGCTCCAAGACAGAGAGGTCCTTTAGAAGAGATCTTGTACTGGGTGTGCACTTGGACCAGGTGACCTCCAGCATGTCTTTGAACTCAAGGATATTTTTGTGGGAAGAGCAAGTGTAAAGAGCTCTGACATACAATTCAAGAGGAGGTACAAGGGGGAACCCAAAACAACCCCAGAATCGATTTATTTATTTATTTATTTGAGTTGGAGTCTCACTCAGTCGCCCAGACTGGAGTGCAGTGGCCGCTCCCGGCCACCGCAACCTCCACCTGCTGGGCTCCGGTGATCCTTCCACCTCTGTCTTCCAAGTAGCTGGAACTACAGGCATGCGCTACCATGCCCGGCTAATTTTTTAAATTTATTGTAGAGATGAGGTCTCGCCAAGCTGCCCAGGTGGGTCTCGAACCCGCGGGCTCAGGCAATCCACTCACCTCAGCCTCCCAAAGCACGGGATTACAGGCTGAGCTACCGAGCCCAGCTCCAGAATTTATTTATTAAAAATTCTGTGTTTCTTCTTGCATGTTTAAACTTCAGTCACCTTCAAACTACTCTCCATTTGATGCAATACTTCTATTCAGACGTTTTTTTCACTGCTCAAAACAGTTTTTGAGCTCATCTCCTTTGATGCCTTTTAGTGCTCCTGCCGTTTTTTGTTTCATGTCTTCCACATGGGCAAAATGTTTCCCTTTGAGGACTTTTTTTCATCCATGGAAACAAACAAACAAAAAAAAGGAGCTCAGGGTGAGATTGGGTGAATAGGGAAGGTGGGCATGGGGAGCATGCCTTTTTTGGTCAAAAACTGCTGAACACTCAGCACAGTGTGGGCAGGTACGTTTTCACGGTGGAAGAACCAGTCATCTGTTTGCCACAACTCAGGATGTTTCTTCTGTAATGCAGACTCACAACAACACTAGCTGGTACACTGATGCTGCTGGGTTTCTAGAACATCTACCCAGCGGGGGAAGCCTGTACTACAAAGGGACCCATCCTCCAAAAAATAAATTCAGGTGTTTTTTGGGGGGTCCCCCTTAGTATTTGCTATCCTGGCATTGCAACTAGCTGTGGGATCCTCAGTCTTATCACCCAGGTTTGTTTTCCTGACCATGAAATGACACTAATGCTATCTTCCTGAGTTGGTGGCTGTGACAACCAGAATATAAGTTCAATAACAGCAGGAATTTTTATGTTTCTTGCTCATTGTTGTATCCCCAGCATCTAAAACAGAGCCTGGCACATAACCACAGCTCAAGAAACATTTGTTGAACGCAGACAGTTTCAGACTATTCCTGTGCTAGTGTGTGTGTGTGTGTGTGTGTGTGTGTGTGTGTGTGTGTGTGTGTGTGCGCGTGCGCGCGCAGTATATGGTCTTAAAGTTCCGGAATATAGGTCTTCACCTCCAGAGGAAAATTTTAAGAACCAGTGAATTCTCTAAGCACTACCAAACTGTGGGAAGCATCGGTTGTCTGACACCACAAAGTGGCTCTCAGAGGGTACTAGGTCTTGACATTTGATGCAGGGAACAATGGTCCAGCAAACCTGGCTTCTTGAGGAGTGCTTGGAGCCATGGTAGTTACATTCCATTAGATGCTACCCCATTCCTTGTCTTTCCTGGCCCCTTACTATGAGTTGTGGGCAAAGAGAAATGACTGACAGAATGGCTTTTCAACAGAGATGAAGGATGCTGACCAGCGGGTTGGCTTCCCAGAATGAAGCCAGAACTACTACCCATCGAGAACCCAAGACACCTGTCACCATGTCCTCCATTAACTTGCTTCCTTTTAAAAAATTCAATGAATACCATTCTTAATCTTCAATCTACCTTCCCAAACATTGCTGGGTTGACTTGGTTCTGTGCACTTTGCCCACAGGTCTCCAAGTAGATCTCATACATGAGGTATCGAGGCACACTGTACCCTTCGCAAATGCAGAAATTGTCGACCAACCTGGGGTGGGAAAGAGGACAGGAAGAGAAAATTGGCATTTGTTCTTCTGGAGCAAGATAGATGGACAAAACCCAGACACACGTGTGGGGTGTGTCTAAATATTTTTAACAAAATATATCTAATTTATTGAATGAAACCCTGCAAAGTCCCACAACTAGCATCAATTACATACCCCTTTGTCCTTAAGACAGTGACAGGTCTATTGATTATGGGTTTCTAGATGATCAACACAGGGGCTTTTTGTTTAGTTTGTTTTGGGGCGGGTTGGCATGCTAAAAAGAAGTCCAAATTATACAGACACTGTAACAACACTTTTATAAAGGTCGCAGCCAAGATCACATAACTACGGAGAGAAGAATTATTTACTCCACCTCGTGAATAAGATACAAAACAATACCTCAGGTAAATCTCTTACCCCTGCAGTAACCGCAAAGCAGACTCATCTTCCCAGTCCCCATATGCCTGCAACTCAGGAGATGTGTTCATGTCTGTTCCTGTCTTATCCCTCTACTCTGAAGCAGTTGTTCGCATGGTTCTTAAGCCCCTACGATTTAGGGAGGGCCACTATGCTTGATTCTTTGAATTGCAATAAGATGTCAAATGCAGAACACCAAAAGACAGAGAGACAGCTCACTGTTGCCCTCGACTTCTTGTTGGGTACAGAGCAAAAGCAGCATTTAGTGTCACCCACAGTGCCTGTGATCTCTGCTCGAGGTGGGACCTTCACGGTGAGGTGGGCAGGGTGCACTCCCTGATGGTGAAGGGGCTCTGCCTGCAGTTGACAGATCACAGTCCGGCTCTTGGGGACAGCCAGGCACCCATTCCAGCAGCAGTATGTGAGTGGGTGGGGATCAGTGGTGAAGGTGACCCAGGCCAGAAAGAGTCCATAGTGACATCCAGTCGCAGCCTTCTTTTCCTGGTTGAGCTAGACTGTCCATTTTTGCCTCTTTCTTTAAAAAAAAATACAAAAAGCAAGCCAGCATAATTTTTTCTTTTTTCCAGGTCAGTGTCACCTTGATAATCAGTAGCCCAGGACAAGGCCGGCTTTGTCTATCTGGTCAATTTATCACTTCTGAGTGCCGAAGTCAGCCTAATTTTTAAACAAAGAGGAATCTTATCTAGCAGAGACTTTGAAGATAATATGTCTCCTTTCTTTTTGACGATACACAGGCAAACGGAGGCCCAAGTTTACCTTCCTTGAGAACTAAGACATGGTCACAATTGTTAACCCCGTGGGCTTTCCAGAAAAAAAGAAAAATTGACATATAAAGAACAGGGGCTCTTTGGCCCTGCATTGGTTTCCTAAGGTAACAAATTACCACAGGCCCAGTGACCCAAAATAGTAGAAATGTATTTTTTCACAGTCCTGGAAGTTAGAAGTCTAAAATTAAGATGTCACTAGGGATGGCTCCACCCAGAGAATCTATACTGTACTTTTTCCTTGCTTCTGGTGCTCTTTGGCTTTAGATGTATCACTCTATTCTCTGCCTGTGTCTTCATGTGGACTTCTCCCTGCGTGTCTGTATCTCTGTGTATTTTTTTTTATAATGACACCAGTGATTGGGTTTAGGGACCACCCTCACCCAGGACGAAGGCAATTGACTAATGACGTCTGCAAAGATCCTATTTCCAAACAAGATCACATTTTGAGGTTCCAGGTGGACATGAATTTTTTGGGGGGATACTATTTAATCCAGTACAGGCCAGGAGGCAGATTTTCTGAGAGGCTCTCATAACCTCAATGTGGGAACCTGAGACTTCACAATGGTTTAACTGTAGTTGCTTGGGGCAACCCCTTCGGGTCCCCCCTCACTGTGGGAGCTTTTCTGTCCTCTCAGTAAATCCTGCTTTCTCAAGAATAACAAAGCAGCAACAACAACAACAATAAAAAAAATTACTATAGCTGCTACCATATCAATTGGCTCGAGGTTGAATAGACAGTGGTATCTATTGATGGGGTGGAGAGTGGCAAATTCTTATATCCAGGTGATAGCCATATTTCTTCTGTTAAGATACCACTTGGTATATGAAAAACACTATATTTGTAGTATCACAGAACAATGTTGGCTAAGTTTGGGCAGCAGTGGTAAATGCGATACACATCAAATTCAGACTCACTTCTGTTTATTCACAGCAACTCCAGATTTAGTCAGGGAACTGTCTTTCTATAAAAGAAGTGTACAAAACGCAAACTCCTGACAATAAATTCTAGTTTAAATTTTTGCCAATTGCTCTTTCTTGTCACAGATATTCATTTGTTCTAGGCCTCTGTGAATTGTCCTTCAGTTTTAAAATGACATTACTGAGTCTGACTGCTATCTGGGTGGACTAGCAAAACCAAATACTACTATGAATAAGGACAAGAATAAAGGTCTTTGGCCAGGTGTGGTGCCTCATGCCTGTAATTCCAGCACTTTGGGAGGCTGAGGTGGGGGAACTATTTGAGTCCAGGAGTTCAAGACCAGCTTAGGCAATATACTGAGACTTTGTCTTTAAAAAAGAAAAATCCGCTGGGCTCGGTGGCTCAGCCTGTAATCCCGCGCTTTTGGGATGTTGAGGTGAGTGGATTGCCTGAGCCCATGGGTTCGAGATCCGTCTGGGCAGCAAGACCTCATCTCTACAATAAATCAAAAAATCAGCCAGGCATGGTAGCGCACGCCT